TAGTAATACAGGTTGTTTATATATATTAACAAAGATTAGTCTGATTAGCTAGAATAGTAATACAGGTTGTTTATTTACATTAACAAAGATTAGTCTGATTAGCTAGAATAGTAATACAGGTTGTTTACATATATTAACAAAGATTAGTCTGAATAGCTAGAATCGTAATACCAGTTGTTTACATGTATTAACAAAGATTAGTCTGATTAGCTAGAGTAGTAATACCAGTTGTTTACATATATTAACAAAGATTAGTGTGATTAGCTAGAATAGTAATACAGGTTGTTTACATATATTTACAAATAAATTAAATATTAAATAAAAGTCCAGTGATATGGCTTTTGAGTGGATTGTTTATTTTTAGTTTAACTTAATTACAACATTTCCACCACTGGTGTGGCCATCATTAGGAAGCTGTCGTCTGTTGTGTGAAATAGTAAAGAAATACTGCGCGAGCATTTTGTTCCAATTTAGAAAACACAAGCAAAAGTACCGCCCCCAGTGACAGGAAAGTTTAATTTAATCTATGAATTTAAATTATTTGATGGACTTTAAAAAGATTAATTGTGTTGCACTCTTGGTTTCACTCAGAGCCAAAGCTCTGAGCTACTTATACCGCCCACCATGAAAAGTAATTGTTGAGCATTTCATTCATATTAAGAGTGGCTCAACAATAACATACGGTAAATCTAAATTTTTATTCTTTAAGTTACGTAACATTTTTATATGTTAATGATAGTGTGATTAATTCCTAACAGTTTAGTGTAGAATATCCTGCTTGCAAAATAAAATTTGCCATTAACATTATTCGTGCCTGTTCTTCCTGCTTCATTTACTAAGCTCGTTATATGAATATCCCTCCACAGAAAGAAAATCGAAAGCGTATTAAAAAGAAGAGAACAATGACAAAACATGAAACATATTCAGCAATTTTCAAACATCTCGGAACAAACCAATTCCATTACTGATGATCTGTAATCATGTACAAAAGAAATTATATATAATAATAAGTAAATATAATTGTATACATATTTGAAGAGTTGACAGAAGAACATGCAATATAGTATAAATTTGTGAATATATCTATGAAAATAAAACTCAGCTGTATTGCAGACACTGGGAATGAGTACACTTTCTTTTTTGTCATTTTTGTCATCAGTAGTTCATAATGAGAATGTCAGGAGGCAGTGATGATGGAATTAGTTTGTGATATAATCTAGCCTGAAGACTTAAATATGTTTAAATATTCTATAGTTATTCTTTCTTTAATCATCTTTTAATAACATCATTAATGAGTTCATAATACCATTTTTAATCAGCTTTGAATAAAATCTTTGATCAGGATTAATAACATCTTTAATCAGTATATAATAATTTTAGTTGGTTGTAATAACATATTTCATCTATTTATTAAAACATTATTAATCTGTTTGTAATTACAGGTTCAAACATATTGTAATAAGATATTTAAACAGTTTGCACTAACACCTTCAGACAGTTTGTAATAACATCATTAATTGGTTTATAATAACACCTTAAAACACCATATAAATCAGATGCTAATATCAGTTTCATTGTATTACAGTTAATACTGCTGTTAAATGTACTTCAGTTAGCTGGATAATGTTTTAGTGTAGTGCATAATAATGAAAGATCAGTTCTGTCAGCTTAAAATGTAGTAAAATGACTAACCATACTTCTTAAACAGCATTGTTCTGTTAAACTTCAGTGTATAGTGTATAATTTAACTAATGTATATTTATGGTAATCAGTGTTTATTGTATAATGTAACTACTGTATGTTTATGGTAATTTCTGTTTAGTGTACAATGTAACTACTGTATGTTTATGGTAGTTAGTGTTTAGTGTAATTACTGTATGCTTATGGTAATCAGTATTTATTGTACAGTGTAACTACTGTATGTTTATGGTAATGAGTTTATAGTGCATAATGTAACTATTGTATTTGTATGGTAATCAGTTTATATTGTATAATGTAACTACTCTATATTTATGGTAATCTGTGTTTAGTGTATAATGTAACTATTGTATTTGTATGGTAATCAGTTTATATTGTATAATGTAACTATTGTATTTTTACGCTAATCAGTTTATAGTGTATAATGTAACTATTGTATTTGTACCATAATCAGTTTATAGCGTATAATGTAACTATTGTATTTGTATGGTAATCAGTTTATAGTGTATAATGTAACTATTGTATTTTTACGGTAATCAGTTTATAGTGTATAATGTAACTATTGTATTTGTATGGTAATCAATTTATATTGTATAATGTAACTACTCTATATTTATGGTAATCTGTGTTTAGTGTATAATGTAACTACTCTATATTTATGGTAATCTGTGTTTAGTGTATAATGTAACTACTCTATATTTACGGTAATCT